GGAGGACGAAGTGCGAGCGTGAGTCCCCGCCTTTCCCCCGGGGCGGCCGCCGAGCGGTGCCGCAGCCCCGTGTCACCAGCGGAGCGGCAGCCCCTGGGCTTGCTGGTCCTTCGAGCGGCGTTTTCTTAGTTTACGTTGTAGAGAAACCGCGTTCTGCGTCTCTGCCGTGTTGTCTCTCGTCTGTTTAGAGCAGCTGGCCGGCTTAAACCCCGTGTGGAGAAGTCACGGCGCTCCTCTGGCTCACCGGTGTGGTGAAGATTGACTGGAATAAAAACAATTTAAAAAGTCTGGAAGGGATATCTTAGTATAACATAACGGCTAAGGAAAAGAGCAGAAATAATTACGGGCGTGCTTTTTGTTGTAGCCTAAGTTAACTGACTTCTATGTTGTTTGTTTACTCCAAGACAAATCTATTTGCTAGTTTGAAAAATGAAACTCTTGTTTTTTTTCAATAGGAAGTTTTACAGAATTTATGGCAGTGGTCCAAGACCTTTTGACCTGTCGCAATTAAACTACAAATCTACTTGCCAGAGGTAAGGTTTAGTTATAATTAAACTAGAAATATTCCTGAAACTTGTCCCTTTTTCCTTTGAAGTCAGTGAACCAAAATCTTGCAATCTTGGAAAAAATAGGTTTGTTGAAAAATACAATGAACTGAAAGAAGAAGGAAAAATCGAAGAGGAAAAATTGTTTGAAGAAACAGGAAAAGCCCTTTTAGCCAGTGGGATAACTCTGCAGAGAAGAGGGACAGACAAAGTAAGTGTTAAGTACTTTTTCTGAGGATAAAAAGCTCATGGGGCTCTGTAGCGACTGTTTGGAAATACCTGTGTGTGTGTTACTGTAGACCTGGTGTTTCTGTAAGGTGGCAGGGGGTAAATGAGAGCCTCTCCTGGTTCACAGAGAACTGCTGCACTTTTCCATCCCTTTGTAATGGCTTGGTCTAATGTGCTCTCACTCTTGTTCTTTAATCTTAATCCTGGACTGAAAATTTGTGTATGTCTTGCAGTTTGGGTTTGTTTGGTTTTTTTTAAGGGCATTGAGGTAGGGGATTGTTGTCTGGGGCTTGTTCACTTATATTTATTGCAAGAAAATAACTGTCCAACGTGTTGTGCTACTGCTTTTTATTTTCCTTGATGTCCAGGAGGGGAAGTGGCTCCTGGGCACTCGGAGTCAAGTTCCTTGTTACTTCAGGCAATTGTCCTGTAACTCTTAACATCAAATGGGGTGAAAAAACCAAACTGAAGAGGCCTCTAGAACAGCACATGGGGCAGAGTAGAGGACGGGTGCTCTGTGATGGTCAGAAATCTTTTACCTTGTTCACAACTAACTGGTCACCACGTCTTCTGAGAATGCTGTCCTTTCAGTTGAGCAGCCTCATGAAAGGGAGAAGAGCTGTTCATAAAAGCTGCAGTTTTAATCTCTGTTAGCAAGTTAATTTATTATTCTTGTAATATGCTCACCATTCTTGTTGTCCACTCACCTCTGCACCAAGTGTTTGTAGTCCTGTCCTCAGTAAGAGGCTGAAGAGGAGCAAAGATTGGTTTTGCTCTAAGTGCAGCCCAATGAGCGTGGGAAAGGTGAAACCAGTGACTGCTTTCAGCTCTTAGCTTGAGGGCAGCAGTCTCATCTTGAATTTCTTGCCCTGCTGCTACCTTGACACTGTATTGTACCTTCAAAATGATCTAAGCATGGATTAGAACTCCTCTCTTGGCTTTTTTGGATATACAAACTGGGGCTGTTGCTTTCTGTTGCTCTCTTGTCACTACTTGACATGTTTTTTGGTCGTCATCTCACTTTTAACTGTAGGTAGCACCACGGGATCATCGGGATGTTGAAACCAGCGATTCTGTGTTACACCAGCAGCTTCAAACTGTGTTGCAAGAGCTACAGGAAAAGAAGAGAGATCCGGAAGGGCAGATGCCACAGAAGGAAAATCCCTTGCCCTCCTAGCAGCTGTGCTGTTGACCTGTAAGGCTTGGCCTCTGGCTGTGCCCCGGCTGTGGCAGTCACCTGCTCGGGAGCCAGCGTTTCCACCTCCGCCTTCTCGTGGTTATGAGACATTTCCTTATGGGCAATGTGCTGCAGTGTCTGGCTGTGGTGCCTTCTGGGCTTGTGTGTGGGCCACACGTTCTTGTTCTTCCACTTTCCCATTCGGAAAATTTGAGAGAATTTCTTTTTTGAAGTTCAAGAATGTTATCTCACATTGTGAGTTGGAAAAGATAAGTATAAAAGTGGGAAAAAATAAACATTTTCTTTAAAAATTATTGGTAGTAAAGATGTTCCGTAATTTCTTGTAATTGACTCGTGGCAGGCCTGCTGTTAGAGTGGCAGGTGCTGCTTGCCCGCTGTGTTCTGCTGGCTGCAGTGTTGTCTTTTTATAGCTGATGGAGGAGAGTTGCTATTTATATAAACACCATAACTTGCTGTTCCTAGGCCATCGTTTGCTTAGATCTAGAGTAGGAAAAAGTGTAACATACCAAATAACTTGGACCTTTGTGGTTTTTTAGTGACTCTTAATGAAATTGGTCACCTCAGAAGCGGGCAGGGTGCAAAGTCACAGCTGTTTCCTGGAGAGGAGGCTTGGTGCTGCTGCAGAAATGGTTGTGGAACTGCAGCATAGAACAGCTTGAGCTCGTGGTCAATGTGGTGGGGTTTGGGACTGATCTCCCCTTGTCTGCAAACTCCAGTGTCTAGCTTATTGTTTAATTAAACATTCTGGCTTTGGGCTGTATGAAAAACAAATACTTTGTGTGTGTTTCTTCTTGGTTTGTGTGGTTTTTTTCTCTTCTGTTTGTTTTTAAAACTATCACCACAAGCCAGCAGGTGTAACTCTCCTGTCAAACAGATCTCTTCCCTCCTTGTCTGGCTCTCCCCTGCCAGGACAAGGGAATTTTCCTTTTGCTTTTGTACCTGCCTCTCAGATACTTTCTCCACAACTTGGTTTAGTGACACTGCTGCTGTGTGTGATGCAAGAAAACTCTTGTGAATCCATACTGTGTGGATTTAAAAATGTTGTTTTTAAAAGATTTTAAAATTGTTTTGTGTGGCTGGGTTCACTTTTTCTGGTAGCAGTAAAATTACAGTAAATTACTCACTTCTCCTCAGAAGGTCAAACTTAATCCCGTTCTGTTGTTCCAGAGGGGTGTGAAGTTTCCTTCCAAAGAGCAGACCCCTCTGCCTTAGCGCTGCTGAGCTGTGAGCTGTGGAGGATCTGTTTCCAGAGCTGACCTTGGCACATGTGCCCGCCTGAGCTAGGAATTACTGCTCTGCAGCTCATGCACTGCAGCTTTGTCTCTGCCTTTTGTGGACTTTTACAGAGGTAAAACTTGGAGTGTTCTTTTACCTTTTTAACCGTTGCTGATTCTCTTAGCTTGCCCAAAACTGCAAAGGGAAGTACTTTAAAAAGAGAAGTAGTGCTATGAAGCATGAGAGATTTCTCACTTGCTTCATTCACAGCTTGGTTGTCTCCTGGTTGTTGTTACTTCTCTAAAACATTGTCAGAGTTGCTTAAAGAGCCCTTTCCTCATCACCTGCTGTGATCAGCCTCATCCTTGCACCTTTTCTGAGCTTGGCTGTGCCTGCCTTCCTCACCTGAAGCACATTGAGCAATAATGTGTTAAATTTAGAGCACAGCCTAGAGCAGCATCCCTGCAGTGTGCCCTGAGCGAGTTCCTGTGCAGAGCAGATGAGAAGAAAGTTGGAATTTAATTTTCTTTGATTCTGTGTTTGGAAAAAAACCACTGCGGGGATTCCACTGGGCAGAGCCCTCCCAGCTGAAGCTGCTCTGCCATGGGCTGGAGTGGAGCAGTGGGATTCACTCCTGTGCAGCTGTGGCCTGAGGGGTGGGAGTAAGGGATACCTCTGCCTGTTGGTTTGGTTTCTTTTTTTTTCCTCTCCTCCTCCATCTGAAATGGTGACTGCTCAGCTGGTTAACCATTAGTTTTCATCACTGCATGTGCTCATAGTCCATACCTGGCATGCCTGGTAAGGCCAGCAGTGACTGGGAAGAAGCTTGGATTTGTGTGGTGATGGGATCGCTCTGTGCTTTGCCAAACTCACGTATAAAGCAGCTGTGTGCTTCACTGGTTGCATGTGCTGTTGTTCTGAAGCAACTATGTGGCCAAATGAGCTGAAAACCTGTGAATATAAGTGAGCACACACTTAAAGGGGTGTGTGCAGGGGTGACGGGGTGGCTGAGTCACCTTGGAAGGTGTAAATCAGGAAATTATTTCTTGGAAGCTCACAGGATAGAGCCAGGGCAGGTTTTTGGCTGGCTGCAGTGGGGGGGACACTTCCAGGCAAGTGGCTCGGGACGGAGAAGCAGTTAGAGATGTTCTGTAGGTTTGTTATAGCTGGGGGTAATGGGGAACCTGTTGGGTAAAGGATGTGAGTGTCAATGTTTGGTGCAATTAGGAGAAAATGCAATTAAGACCAGAGTTGTGTGTTTGTTTGATGGATGCATTTGCTGGGCCAGGATTGAAATGCCAATCACTATGACCTTAGAGTAACTCAACTACTTTAATTAAAAGGTTTGAGCAGGAGCCTGGGGTGAGCCATTTATTATTTATCCAGCATTTACCCTCCAGCCGCCAGCAAAAGGTCAGCAGCTTTGTGGGAGGGGGCTTTGTTGGGCAGCTTAGATGAGAACAACCCAGCACCCCTTAGCCCAGCTGTGGGGGTGTGACCCAGGGGGGTCCCCACTAGGTGGGAGCCGTGCTCTGCTGGAGGAGCTGGCTCCTGGAGGCTGCCAGTTTCCCCCAAGCCCCCCTCCCCAGCCAGAGGGATGAGAGGTAATGGGGACCTTCAGGTACCGTGGTGGAGGTGTCTGCCCCCCAATGCTGTCTGACATCAAGCAGCCTGAGAAACGCGTGTCACAGATGTGATGGTGTCACTTGCCTGTGGCCTTTGCTGCAGCTCGTGTGGTTGAGTAATTCCTTATGCCCAGACAAACCAGTCCTTTGCTGCTGTGACGCTGGTCAATGATGAGAGCAAAGCTGGTGCTGTCTCTCTGTCCCACACCCCGTTATGGAGCAGCCATGTGACCTTTCCTGGGTTAAATCACTGACTTCCTTCCTCCTGCAAGACGAGCGGTGTGCACAGCAGTTCCTTTCTGCTGGTCAGACTATTTTTAAGTGACAATAAATGCCCAGGTATCAGTTACAAGGTTTCTTACTCCTTGACGTATCAAAAAGATGAGGCAGATTTGGGCAGGCGGTAACCCCTCCTCCACCTCTGAAAGCCAGGCTGAATGTCTGCCAAGGTCAGTTCTTAAAATCATGGGCCTTGCCTGAATGTTTCAGGATGAAAAATGTTAAGATTAAGAACTCTGCTTGCTCACTAGCGGGTCCCACTGCAGGGTCTTGAAGTCTTGATTGCCAAGTTTGCTGCTTTTGTGCTTAGCTCTCTTGCAGGCCGGTGCCCAGGTTAGCTTGCCCCAGTGGTGTTAGCAGTAGAACCAAATAAACAATAAAAGGACCCCAGCAAAGCAGGTGTGCTACAGCCACAGTGTTCGTGCATAGCCCAGGAGGGGAAACCCCTTCCCTCTGCCCATTTGGAAATTCAGGGGGGTTGCTCAGGGTTGCGCCTGACCGTGGGCAGCATCACCTTGTGTTGTGTGTTGCAAGCAGGTTCTGCTGATGGTAAATCACTAGAAAGGCAGCAAATGAGGCAATGAACCATTGGAAAGAAGGCTGCTATGGATGCCAGCCCGTTACTGAGTCTGGAGCTTCACCAAACAGCGTCAGTGCTGGGATGCAGCGTAGGTTCCACCTGAGCAAACTCCTCTGGTCCCTCAGTTCAGGACCTGAGCTTGGGTGCTGTTTTAACCCAAAGGCAGCTGCCCTTCTCACCTCCTGAGCTGGACGCGTGATGACGCATCTGTGACCGTGCCGCTGGTCACGCGTGGCGGATTATCTGCTGTTACGTGGTGAGGGCAGGGGAACTCGGGATTTAATAGGATCAGGACTTATGTCTGGAGCAGCCAAAATAATTCATCAGCTTTGCTGGAAAACCAGGGGGTCTGACCTTGCCAATGCCAAGCTTCATTGAGGCAGGTAATAAAGCATTTAATGCTTTAAGAATGTGGCTCCAAGTAAGATATTAAAACGTTGGCATTGCTGCACTGTAGTATTCTTCAGTGATTTACCTCTGCACACACGAATTTGGTCTCCAAATCTGCCCCATTTTGAGCTTTGGAATATTCCAGAAATCTCTGTCTGTTAGGATCTTTGCTTGAATTTATTGTGGTTTTATACTCGCTATCTTATACAACATCTGATAAAAGATATACTAAGATCTATCAAGGAATACGATGGACAAATCAGTCTTGTTGCTTTGCACTTGAATTGAGGCAATAGCAATTTTTTTTTTTGCATCACCGGAATTCAGAAAGCTTTGGTTTGGGTAAATTGCTGGCTCTGAAGGAGCAGGGCTGGGTGCTGCTTTCTGGGGGCAGCCCCCTGCAATGGGGGCTCTGCAGCCGCCGTTCCCTCAGGCTGTTGGGGCAGCTGGGCATGGGCATTTTACGCTTGTATGTGGGGAAAATGTACGTGGCATCAGAGCGGGGTCTGCCTCGGGAGTGCTGCAGGTTGAATCTGAGATGGCACACAGGGGTCTTTGCTTCTAGGTGGGGTGTGCAAGACCTCTGCAGCATTGATTCTTGCCATCTGGCCCAGTTTGGTTTTTAAACAAAACAACAGCAGCTTTTTTAACAACTTGAATTGTATGGTCTTTAGCATTTTGCTTCTGCAGCACCAGAAAGGCCCATGTGACAGCAACTCCCAGCCCAGAGCTGTAGGATGAACAAGATGCAGGCCAGTAACCCTGAGCAGTATGGGAGGGTCAGAGCATCCTTGTGAGAACCACAGGTTGGCCTCGGTGTGAAGCAGCTGTTTTACCAGTAAACTTGAAGTTCTTGCAGGCCCTGACCCCCTCTTTGGTTGGTTTTTAGA